TGACGTTTTACTCCATGACTGATCATTTTACAGACAGAAACAAAACAAACCCTCCTGTGTTTTCACACCAGAGCAGACACTTGAGAAACTGTTAGAGAGATCAAGCCGAATGCGGGAAACACCTCAAACCTGCAGGACGGCGGCCCAAAGAGGACCCAAACCAGTCAATGTTTTTATTCTCTCCCGTTGAGGGCAAAATTAACGAAGCTTCTTTCTTTTTTCTCGCCCAACTGCAGGTGGCAAAGTTTAACTTGTGCCAGAAAACCTTTGGTGTGTCCAGGAGGTTGGCTGTTTTTAGCTAAACGGACACAGATGGCCATCTCAGCCAACCAGCTGCTGCTTCTGTGTGATGAAAAGGTCCCAGCTGTTGCTATGGTTACCGCACACTTGCCACACTTTTCGCACGAGACCTGAACCCGTTAAAGTGTGTAGCTCTGGGTATAATTAGAAATATTTACAGTTACCATGAATATGAGCCTTAAAAATCTGATCTGCCTGTGAGAGAAACAAGGCTGTGATCTGATTTCCAATCCCAGTTTTTCTGATGACTCCAAACACGTCAAAGATACAAACAAGTTCAAGCTAGTAGAATCTATTTTTAAGTTATAATAAATAGCATTCATATGAAGACGGTTAGAAAATGAAGATTCCTTTCCTGAAGAAATCAGTAGATTAAACAATCCTTAGGCGACGGTGGGAAGAAAAAACTCCTTTTGAACAGGAATTAACCTTCTTCGGAACCAGGAAGGCGGCCATCTTTGTGGCCTTCTCTCTGGGGGCTAAAAGGTTAGGAAAGGGGGTCCAACCAGCACCATGACACCAGGCCAGGTGCATCATGGGAGCCCCCCAGCAGTCTGGGCCTATAGAGGGGGGAGAGGTGCATCATGGGAGCACCCCAGCAGAACTATGGGGGATTTCAAGGTCCCTGAGCATCTGTAACTATCAGCTTTATCAGAAAGGAAAGTCTGATCTTAAAGGTAAAGGGGGGGGGGGGGGCTGATACCTGAACCCAGACTGGTTCTGTGGCAGAGATTTGCCAGGAAACAGT